ACATGGAATTAGAGAACAGTATCATCTGTATACAGTATCATCTGCATAAAAATGAAATTTGGCATAGGAAACATTATCTGTAATGTTATTTATGTACATGATGAAGAGGAGTCCTCCTAGAACCGACCCCAGGGTTCAGGCCATTACAGACTACAAACCTACCAACTCCAAGCCCCCTTCATAAGCTTAACAACTTCTGTGCTCACTTTGTAGGGACAACCAGAAGACAGCCATCAAGACTACACTCCCTGTACACCACCAACCTTACACTCTCTCCAGTCAACGTGTGTGCTGTGTTGAGCAGGATTAATGCATGCAAGGCTGACTTCCTAACCAACAAAACCCAGTTTGCCAGGTTAGACAATCGCACATCGTCAGCCTTGACTTTGAACACTGGCGTCCAACAAGGTTACATCTTATGTCCTCTTCTCTACTCCATGTTTACCTACAACTGCATACCTACTCGTGGTTCCACCATGAGTTTGCAGATGACACAACAGTGGTGGGTTAAAACAACAACGATGAGACAGCCTACAGGGAAGAGTTTTGACACCTGGCAGTGGGGTGCATCAGCACAATACCCACAATACTAATAAGACCAAGGAATTCATTGTGAACTTTAGGAAGACAAAAGCTATCTATCTATCTATCTATCTATCTATCTATCTTATATGATTTTACCTGCAGTGGTGATGCTCCAGGCAGACAAACAGAGTCCAAGATTAAGCAGAGTCTTCACAGATGCCATGTTAGCACAATGGTCTCTTCTTTCCCTCATTTTGCTGGTTTTGTAAAAAACTGTTTGAACTAAGAAGACGTAGCTGCTGAAAATATGTTCCTCTAGGTTGCAGCTGCTCGGGCTCAGTGCCGTTTCCGTTCAGCAGGACAGAGTGTGGGAGCTGAAACGGGGTGGGGCTGGGGGACTGTTCAGGGTTCTGCCTCACTCGCTTGCTAATCCTTCCCACATGCCTGCCTACACATGGGGTTTCTACAACAGTTTGCTCACTCTGAATTCCTGGTTCTATTGCCAAAGCACACAAGAAGAACATGAATGCCCTCTGGCTGACACACCACAAACCTTTTAAAGTTTTACTGTGTCAGAGAAACAGTGGTATTTAAACACACTAGATTACAAAGAAGCATGAGTGTGGTTACTCATGCTTACTTACGGTAAGAGTGCAGTCACCGGAATTCTCTCCGCTTTCTGTACCATTCGGCTCATCCATTCAGTGGCGTTTTTGTGAAAACCAAACAGCTTGATGCCCTATTGCCTTGACAACTAATGGGCTTTGTCCAAGTGGCCTAGATTAATTTCTGTGTTGGCATTTAGGTTACCAGGAAACTTATTTATGTCTTTCTAATCTCACACAACAGCAATGAAGATTTAGTATGTGGAAATACTCAATAAGCCAATATGAGACATCAGTGCTTTCATTTCCATTTCCAGTAATTGATATATGTGATATCATTTATGTTGTATTTGACAGTTGCTTTCTTTAGCTGTGTAAAATGCAAAGAGACTAAGCAACAACTAAAACTAAGCAATATGGTTTTGTCATGTGTATAGTCAAAATGATCATCAGTGATCATCAAGAGTTCTCTAAGGGACACAGGAGGGATTTACTGTATGGATGTAATGAAATAAACATGCCTTATAAAGGTTGTTTGTGTGGTCCTATATGTTGAAATTAACAAATGGAGCATATTACATCTGTTTTACTGTGCTGTACTCTAGCGTTATTGGTCTTGGAAGAGCAGGAAGAATTACAGTATTCAGTTATTACATATACCTACCTGTTTACTGTGCTTCATGATCCATGATCAGTGGTACTGAACACTGACCCAAAAATGTTGAAATCAAGGTTTGTTAGCAAGTCATTACATCGTGTGATTAATGGGTGAGTAATGAATGATGGGGACCTAGGACGCTCCACCAGTCTGTAAGAACTGAGTCAGTCTCTTGAATGATGGTGAAATGTCTTAAAGAACCAAAGAGAGAGAGTGCGTGCGTGTGTGTGTGTGTGTGTGTGTGTGTGTGTGTGTGTGTTAACTTGTGCAAATTTCAATGTTATTTACCTGCCCTCTGCTCTTCAAGTGAGCACGAAAAGAAGCCAAGGAATGTGGGTCTGAAGAAGATAAACTGATACAGATCTACAGCGGGTATTTTCAATTCTTGTGAGAATCCGTGACCCTGTAATTTCATCTATTTAAGGTAATGGCATTTGGGTCCATCAGAGACCTGCAGTGAACATCTGGGACGTGCTCAGACAGACCCAGTGGCTTGAGCAACTGTGTGGGAACATTGCAGCAGTATGTGTCATTTGGGGGAAACCTCCTGGTGACCATTAGAAACCATTTGACTGTAGTTGAACCTCGCCTCCAAATATGTACACAGAAACTCAAAGAAACACTTACTTCCTCCTAAAAATACACGAACATATAACTCTTTTGAACTGACATTTTTATGGAGCTGTAATACCAGGATTCTTGTTTTTTTTTACATCACTGACATTTTTATTAAGGCAGTTTAAGATTAGGGTTGGAAGCAATGGTAATCTTAATTAAATCTTGAAAATAGTACAAGGTAGAACATATTGGCACACTAGATTTTCTAGACAGACAGGACAAAGGTCACAAACTCCAGTCTCTGGGGACACAGTCCCGTCCCTTCCCTATGAGATCACACTTCCTGGATTGAAACAAGTGTTGCAGGGGAAAATATTGTGAGCCAAAAGTATGTTTCCACCAACATATGTCTGTCAAAATATGTCAGTAAGACATTAATGATATTTTAGAAGATAGATTTAGTCAAGGATGCACGGTTTGAGAATGTTGCATCAATGGGCCTTACAGTTACATGACAAAATACTGTCATGCAATAATTCACAATATGCTTTATTATTGTCCCAAAATGTTAGGCTGTAGGATCCACAGAGTTGATAACTTAATAAAATTACTGATTCACTGCTGCATTTGTATTATTTTGGCAGTAAATTCTAAAAATCTACCAACTTCTGTTTAATCATGGCAGTGTCAGTTATAGGAAATAACTTTGAAATAATGAACATATTAAATCAAAAAGAAAAACACTACATGGCACTGAAGTTGTCTAGTTACCTAACTGCAGCAGATCTTTTTTTTCCAAGTCTGTATGGATTGAGGAGTAACATCCACAGGCTAACAAAAAGTCTACTGTAACACATCAGCAACTAATTAACAACAACAACAAATAAACTTACTGATAAATCTACCAACTGCTTAGAGTGGATACTTTCAATTTCCAACATCCATATTTTAAAAGTTATTCACATTTGTATTTCATACATTGCAGGAGGACTTTACAAATCTCTCAAACGTGAGTGAAACTACACACCCTGTTTTATTGAACCTCTAACACCTGTTCTTGGATGCCCTAATGATGATCAGATGGAGCCTTGCAAGAAATACATTTTAAAGCAAAAGACATGAATATGAATGCCTAATTTGTCATTAGTTTTGTCATCAACCAAACTACAAGACACATTCCATTTTTTAACTGTTGATGGCACTCAATGAAAAGTGAGGGAATCATTACAATCATTCTGAGAATAGTGGCAATTAATCCAGTAATTATTTAAATATTCCCCACTTAATCAGATTAGCCTCATGGTGGCGTTATGGGAAAGAAGTCGGGGAATCAGAAACGTCATTACTGATCAAAGTGGTGGATCAACTGATCAACACATCTGCTTGCTGCAAGCATGGCTAAAAACAAAGTGGAGCTACAGCCTGATCTACACACTATACTTATATACATCACCTGCAATTCTGCATAATAAAGTCCACTAACATCACTTTGCATTACTTATGAATATTTTTATATTTCTGTAAATATCTGTCATATTGTTCTATTTTCACTCTGTGTACATATCACTGTTATTTGTATATGTGGAGCAAAGGCATGTGCAATTTCATTATACATTGTATAATGACAATAAAAAGGACTCTGACTCTGATTCTGATTCTGACATAACATTATTAAAAGGCAAAGATTTGACCTGGCTTTAGTGTATTTATTTCATACCACCTTATCTGGACATGAAAAAAAGATGAGCTCACTGAATATTTATGTAGAACTTTATGTGAGCAACTCTAAATCAAAGCTGTGCTGATTACTTAAAGTTTTGCTGGAAATAAGCTGAAACCACTGACAGCTGGTTTTGATCATTGCGACAAAGTCCACCAACACACACAAACAAAATGAACAAAGCATCATCCAGTTCCTGTTGCTCTAGAACATTTTATAAAAACATTGAGTGTGTTTCAGGGGCATGAGCATCCCAATTATTGGGCTTATCCCAGTTTTATTACATCTGAGATGTGATGTTTACATTGAACATGCACATCCCGTTACAAGTCTTAACTGTTAATATCTGCTCCCTGATTACTGTGTTCTTTTCATGCAGGAAGAGATATAGTGATTCAGAATAGAGAGTAATTTACAGCCCACTGGCACACACTATACACAGTATGCTTGTATGGTAAAAACCAGATTCTTCCGCTGACATTGCAGTGCTCTGAGCTCCAAACAGATTGCCTACATATTTGCATGTTGTATTACAGGCACAACAACAGTTATTTTGCTCAGTGTGTGTGTTTGGTTTATAACATCCTTTTTGTAATAATGTAGCCAACCTTACCCTGAAGAATTTCACAAGAAAATCACCTCAAATCCCTTTTGAGCCGCATTCAGTCCTGAGGGGTATAAGTGGTGCCTCAGTCTGGCCTGTTACATCAGGGATGGGAGAGTCCAAGACATAAGACAGAAAGTGTAATATTTCAGCAGAGTGCCCTCCCTATCTTGGGGTGTGGAAACCATATGAGCAATATTTGGATAAGGACTGTCAGTTTCCTGGAAATGTGCTGTATGAGCTAAGCATGCTGTCTCATAACCCACATGTTTACAGGGAAATGTAATCGCTCACCGAGTCACTCATGCTTTGGTGCATGGTTCTGACTCACTGAATAGGTGAATATATGTAAGTCTCAGCTTTAGTTTGATTGCACCAAACTATTTTGAGTAACCATAAAACATACACATTGAGTCACTCAACTCTTCAGCATGGGGATGGATGCATCATGTGCTGAACTTTTGTTGGGAAACTTACGAAACAGGAAACATTTCTGTGGTAAAAGGAGGGATGGATTCAGTTAAATAAATAGGCCAAAAATTTCCAACATCTGTAAAACAGCTGGAGATGACGCCTTCAGCCTCAAGAGACACAAGCTGAAGGTGTTGTAATGGCTCTCACATTCCTCTGACTAAAACATCATTAAGAAATAATGGACAGTTGTGTTTACAAGGCCAAAGTTGTGAGACTTGCAGGAGGTGTCGGTGTAGTTTGGAACATACTCTTACAAACATACACATATACTGAACAAAAATGTAAACAACAGTTTTGTTTTTGCTCCTATATTTCATGAGCTGAACTCAAAGATCTGAGATGTTTTCTATGTACACAAAAGGCCTTCTTTGTTAAAATCTGTGTTAGTGAGCACTTCTCCTTTGCCAAGATAATCCACCCACCTCCCAGGTGTGGCATGTCAAGATGCTGATTAGACAGCATGATTATTGCACAGGTACGTCTTAGGCTGGTCACAATAAAAGGCCACTGTAAATGTGCAGTTTTATCACACAGCACAATGCCACAGATGTCGCAGGGTTTTTTTTGTTTTTGAGAAAACATAATACAAATACATACAGTAATAGAACAAACAGCAGGAGGAGAATCCAACTCTTAAGTAACATTTAGACCACACATACAATATATCAATCAAAATCAGGCCTCAGTTAAAATGTAGGTGAGCCATTTAGACCAAATTTCAGCAAAGATATCAATTTTATATCCTGGTTTAAATGTGATTCTCTCTGTAATAAACATCAATCCAGTCATTTATAGTAAGTATGTCTCTTTTCAACCATTTCAGAGCCTTCTTGCTTGCTACTAACAATAGTCTCAATAGATATTTATCTCTCTTTGCACATTTAAGTTCTTCTAAATCGTTAAAGTACATGATTTCAAAGTTAAAGCAGATTTTAAATTTAAAAACTGCCTCCAAGACTCCATGGACACATTTCCGAAATGGAGCCACAGAGGGGACAATCCCAAGATGTCACAGGTGTTGAGGAAGTGTGCAGTTGGCATGCTGAATACAGGAATGTCAACCAGAGCACCGAACAGCTGCTGCAACAATTGGTTTGCATTACCAAAGAATTTCTGCACAATCAGAAACCGTCACAGGGAAGCTCATCTACATGCTCGCTGTCCTCATCAGGGTCTCGACCTGACTGCAGTTTGTCATTGTAACTGACTTGAGTGGGCAAATGCTCACTTTTGATGGTGTCTGGCACTTTGGAGAGGTGTTCCCTTCACGGATGAATCCTAGTTTTTAATGGACAGGACAGATAGCGACAGCATGTATGGTGTTGTGTGGGTGAGCGGTTTGCTGATGTCAATGTTGTGAATCAAGTGGTCCATGGTGGCGGTGGGATTATGGGATGGTCAGGCATATGTTATGGACAACAAACACAGGTGCATTTTATTGATGGCATTTTGAATGCACAGAGATACCATAGCGAGATCCTGAGGCCTATTGTTGTGCCACGACCATCACCTCATGTTGCAGCATGATAATGCACGGCCCCATGTTGCAAGGACCTGTACACAATTCCTGGAAGCTGAAAACATCCCAGTTCTTGCATGGCCAGGATATTGAGAAGGTTTGGGATGCTCTGGATTGGCGTATACGATGACAGGTCCCAGTTCCTGCCAATATCCAGCAACTTTGCACAACCATTGAAGAGGAGTGGACCAACATTCCACCGGCCACAATCAACAACCTTATCAACTCTATGCGAAGGAGATGTGTTGCACTGTGTGAGGCAAATGGTGGTCGAACCAGGTACTGACTGGACTCTTTTTCTGGACTGTGGGAGGAAGCCGGAGAACCTGGACAGAACCCATGCTGCACAGGGGGAACATGTAGAAAGATTCCAGGCGTCCTAACCGGGACGTGAAACGGGGATCTTCTAGCTGTGAGGCAACGGTGCTGATCACCGAGCCACATTGCTACCTGTTTTTTTTTTTTTTTTTGTATTGAGCTATTGCAAAATATCTACGTATTGTTCAAAACATAAGTCATCACAGAGCACCTCATTTAGCAAGACTGAAGCAGCAGAAATGGGAACTCAGAGACCAAGAAATTTAAATTAATTCAGATTGTCTACTCCTTGAATGAACCAAATGTGTGCACCTCATGTAAAATACAGCGTAGTGTCAATATGTGTCAATAAATGACTGCAAAGAAAGACAATAAAACTGTGGCCATGATGTGCAAAGTGTGTGAAGCCATCAAACCTTACTTTTGATGTGTATATGGAGTGTGGAGAGACAGGATGAATATTACCAGATTTCTATTTCAACTGTGTGGCTGTGGATGCACCTATCACACAGTTAAAGCATGAAGTGGTTTGTAAACTGATGGATGCTTACAATGGGTTGATTTAATCATGTAAATTTGGATTCACAGCTTGCTCTCAAACCATCTTGTTACTGACTGCTGGTGATCCACACGACTTAAGTTTTGACATCTCAACAAGTCCATAAAGGTCCCTCTGTTGACAGGCCAATGCAGTCCAAAATATGTGCGACTTTGATTGATTGATGGACTGGGTCCACATATTCGAAAAGGAATGAGAAGAAGTATATCAACACTTATTTATTCCCACCCCTTTTCCGTAAATGATTGATTGATAATTTCCAGTTTCCTAAATATATACATATGATATACATTTTTTTTGTACATATAAGATACCATGAAAATATATACAATTATAATACTGCCAATTTATATATATACACACATAGAATAGAATAGAATAGAAGTTTATTAATCATATGTACACATTCACACACACACACACATACACACATACACACACACACATACACACATACACACATACATACATACATACATACATACATACATACATACACTCATACTAAGGAAAATAGATCAAGAACGATAATTAATTCATAGTTACCAATTGAATAAGTAAAAAGATGAACATTAACTCCTGTAAACGTGGCATATGTCAAACCCTCTCTTCATCCCTGTACTGTGTAAAGATCATGTTTTTATACTGTACTGTAAACTGGTGTCCGTTTGGACATTGCTTCAACTCCACATTCAAACCGTTCCACAGTCTTACTCCACATACTGAGACACAGAAACTTTTTCTGGTGCAAGGTTTGAGGTTGTGTTTTCTTCTTAAGTTATAGCTCCCTTCTCGACCACTGAACAATTTTAGAATATTTCCTGGTAGTATTGTATTTTTGGCCTTGTACATTATTTGTGCCGTTTGATATCCCACTAGATCTGTAATTTTGAGTAATTTTGACTGTAAGAAGAGGGAGTTGGTGTGTTCCACGTACCCGACCTTATGAATTATCCTTATTGCCCTTTTTTGGAGAATGAATAGTGAATCTATCAAACTCTTGTAATTATTACCCCAAACCTCTACACAGTATCTTAAATATGGTAAGACTAATGAATAGTATAGAATGTGGAGTGACTTCTGATCCAGAACCTGCTTTGCTTTGTACAATACTGCGATGCTTTTTGATATGTGTACATGTTTAATATGCGATTTCCAGTTAATCTTTTCATCTATTGTTACCCCAAGGAATTTATGTTTAGAAGTGCTTTCAATTTGAACTATCTCTGCACTTGTGTACTTGTTCTGCAATTACTAAATATCATTAATTTAGTTTTATTTAAGTTTAATGTTAATTTATTTCTATCAAACTATATTTTTAATTTTCTCATTTCTGTAGTAATGTCTTCTAGTAGTTGATCTAAATTGTCAATGTCCAGTATTTCTTTCTCATCCACTGCTTTGAGAAACATTGAGCTGGGATTTCCCTCTGGCAGCCTGTCTGGTTTTTTTCCAGTTGTTCCTGGATTTGGGATTCTTGATGCTAAGTCAGGTCCAACATTTACAAAAGAATGATTAAATCGGTTAGCTATGTCCTCCATATTATAATGCTCCTTATCTTTGTCAATGAAATAGCTAGGATAACTTGTTAGTCTTGTACTATTTTTTATAAAACTGTTCAGTATATTCCATATTCACTTTTCCTCTAATATTCTTTTTACTTTTCCCTATAATATGAGTTAACTTGTTTTTAGATTTTTTTAATATCTATTTTCTCCCTCTTTAGATCTTTGTCTTATGAAATCCCTGTACCCCAAGGGCAATAGTGTGCATGCAAGTAATATGTAGCATATTATGTACAGTTAACCAAATCCACATGTATGCAATAGAGTCCTCCAAGCAGACTCCCATAGACTAAAAAAGTGATATAATTGAAAGCACTGTACACGTCTGTCTGCAGCTGTCAGTGTGTCCATCTGCACAGGTACAGCTGTATAATCATGGCTTCAGACTTCTTTTTACCAATGTGTCTTTACAAAATGATGGAAATGAGACCAAGTTTATTATAGTATCAATTAGTGCTGTCTAGAGATTAAAACAATTGAGAGCTTAATTAATTATGATCTGTAAATAATTTATCTAATTCATCTCTTTTTTAATCTCACCTAGAAAAGCCCTCAACTTGAGGTATTTTCATTTAC